AGGAGATTGTTGGGCGAAGAAGAAGAGCCTTGTCATTTGTCTATGCTGGTGTACATCATCTTCTTCTTCTTTCTCACTTCTTCTTCTTCTTCTTCTAATCCTCTCTCTCCTCTCAAGCTCATTCATTTCTTTCTGCAATTGGACGGCATTGTACTATCTGATGGATGTGTGTCTCAAAATTGGTCAGGATCATAACAAAAGAAAAGAAAAGAAAAGAAAAGAAAAGGAAAAAAGAAAAAAAAAAAGAAAAGAAAACAAAAGCAAAGAGGAAGGGCAGAGTGTCCTTCCCGACATCCATCCATTGGAATTGGAACCCCTGACACACATGCATTAATTGAAACAAATAGTCCCAAATTTCGTTAAAAAAAAAAAAGACGACGACAACGAAGGGCAGACAAAGGAACAATGCCTCAGCTCACAGAGAGCCCCCTTCCAGTTCAGTACACACTTGCCAGAAACATGCTTTTCCAAGTTCCAAGTTCCAAGTTCCAACGGGAACGGGACATTTAATTTTTCTAGGGAAGTCGAGGAAAAAAACTTTAAAAAAGAGAAAAGAACGACGATTTTTACGGTAATCTGCCTGTTCCAAAAGAAGCAAAAAAGACGTATACACTTGTTTAGACAAACAAAAGAGTTTGTTATTATTATTAATGCCATGGAGAAAATTCTTCTTGTACGTATGAATTTTTGCTCTACTAGTGGAGTCACGAAAAGGAGTTGTAATTGCACTGTGGGGCAAGATACAGTTTGCAATTGCACTTTGGGCACCCTACCTGGCCAGAAAGCTGGGTTGTATACATTGCCCAAACTGCAAGTCCAAAGTTCTCCAAACTGTATCTTGGACCGCAGTGCAATTGTAAGCTATAACTCACTTTTTGTGACTACCGCATAGTTCCTCCTCCATTCTATTTTTACTAACTAATATAATAATATCGAGTTCTTCAGTTTTCATTGAACTGTTTTGCAGTGTTTTCTTTTCTTACTTCATTTTATATGCTTGGCGTGCAGTGCAGCACCTCCACGCCGGGTGTACTGGTGGTTTAACATGTTTTAGTGACTATTTAAAATGTTTTAGTGGATTTTTACGGAGGACAGGAGGGGGGAGGGAGGAGGGGGGAGGGGGGAGGACGGGAGGGAGGCGTAAAGGGAAGGAGAAGAAGTGGAAGGTGGAAAAGAAACAATGTCGCTGTGCCGATTATCACATCCGTCGGACTTTGGGGAAATCTTTTTTTCTTTTCCCTTGCAAAACAGTAAAAGCTAGCTGTTTATCCAGGCCCATGAGCTGCCAAAATCCGCACGGAAGAGCGGCATGGCACCGAAATCCGCACGGAAGGGCGGCATGGCACCTGGCCGTGCAGGTCGCCTGGTCAGGGCGCCGAGCCTTCTTTTTTGCACAATTTCACAACAGGCCTTTTCAGACCCTGTAGATGGCCCAGCCGACTCACGGCCGTCCCAACAGCAGGAGGTTGCCTGCTAAAACTTTCCGCTTGGTGGTCAGCCTTTTTTTGTTGTTTTCACAAACAAAGGAGAAAAAAAAAAAACAGTGCTCTGACAACTTCACCGGCGCATCTACTGCCCCATGGCCGCCTCCCAGGTCAGCCATTCTCCCGCTCAGTCACCGCCAATTCCCCCGCCGCATCCTCCTCCTCTCTCTCTCTCTCTCTCTTTTTTTTTTTTCTTGGACCATTTCTCGATTTATGCATGTCATCCTTGCGCAGGGGCCATGCTAATCTTCTCTGTATCGTTCCAATTTTAACGGATGTCCCGAAGGACAGTCTCTCTCTCTCTCTCTCATTGGCTGTGGATCATAAAATTTGTGTGCTCCTGTACAGTGGAAACGAAGAAAAGCCATCCACATAAGGAGGAGGAGGAGGAAGACGGGTTGGAAACCGGGGGGTCAGTCAGGAGAACAGAAGCTGCGGGGTAGAGGAAGGTGCGAAAGAGGAGGCGGAGGCGAAGGAAGAGGAGGCGGAGGCGAAGGAAGAGGAGGCGGAGGTGGAGGAAGAGGAGAAGGATGAGAGGTTAGTCATGTCGTTGGTATTGAGAAGAGGGGCAGCAACATGATGACCTTTCGAATTTGAGAGGAAGAGGGAGGAAGACGAGGGAGACGGAAGAGGACGAGAAGACACAGAAGAGTGCGAGGAGGAGGAGAGGCAGCGCGTGCAAATGATGATCATCAATCAACAATAAATGATCTCGATGGTCGATTGAAGATATCGAAGGCGAGGATCAAGAGAGGGTTTCTTATATATCTGTGGATTGCCCCTTCCTACTCCTTTCCTCCTCTCTCCCTCCTTCCCTCCCTCCCTCCCTCCCTCCCTCTCTCTCTCTCTCTCTCTCTCTCTCTCTCTCCAGTCGGTCCAATTAATTATATCCGTTGATCTAATTGGTCCAAGTCATTTTATCTATTGATTGCAACAGAGATCTTGATCGTTGATCAACCATCGATGCTCATCGTCAATTAAGCATGCTGATCGTTGATGATCTCGTGGTTGATCGACGATCTAGATGCATCATCCTTCACACCCATGTATTACCGTGTCATCAATGGGCCCCGTGTGTTGAAGAGGATCAGGAGAAAGACCAGTAGGCAGAGGAAGAGCAGGAAGAGGAGGACGAGTGTGGGGAGAAACAAACGCCCAATAGGGCCTTGTGGTACACGAGTCCCCAAAAAATGCCGATTGCACGTGTTTTCCTTCACCCGTCGATCGGTACGTGTTGGATGACACATACGATTGGTGGCACATCAATTGATTGATATCCGTTGATTTGATGGGTCCAAGTCATCATATCCATTGATCCCAATGGGCGGAGACGTGCCCCCCCCCCCCCCCC